AACTGACAAACAGGCAGGGGAGACTATTTTACTCATCACATAATTGTTTTTTACCTTCAAAACTTCTATTTCTCTTTTTTACCCCTATGAAATCACATGTATTTAGAGAAATTAAATAAATCCTTAATAAGAGTGAATTAGATGTCTCTGGTAAACCCAAATCACTCAGAACTTTGCCTCACTTAAAAAGAAAAAAAGGAAAAGTTTCAGTTTGACCTGGTTTTTCCTCCCTAATTTTTCAGCTCACACTGTTGGTAATAACAGTCTACATAGGTTACATCATTTGTGAGGAATCTCCTCTCATCTGTCTCCAAATGAATAACAACAAACATTCAAAAAATAATTGAAGTTTTATATATATCCCTTGGCCATTCAGGTGGTATGGCTGGCACGAGACATAGGCACTTTAAACAGCTGTTGTGAATCTTAAGTATAAACTTCCACCCTTTGGCACAGCACCAGGAAATTCTGCATAGGAATATACCTGCTCTGCCTCACAGCAGACACAACCCACAGTGTTTAATACCTTGAGCGTGGACAGCAGAGAAAAGCTGTTTTCCCAGGGGACACCCCTGCTTTGTGTGACCCTTTCCCCCCTGTTGGATGAGCATGACTGAGCAGGGCTTGGGGGAATGTACAGACCCACACACACAGAGAGCTCCTCTTCCTCCTGCATCAGCAGATACTTGTGTTGTAGAGTAATCCAGTGGCCGAAAAAAGCCCAACCACCACTACACACACACACACACACACACACACACTCACACACATTTTCACCTCTTCCAACCTTATTTCTCAAAGGTAGGCATGGTAACAGAAGTGCTCTGGGAGCCAAAGTAACCCAAGATTTTGTTACCCAACCTGTCCCACTAGAGCTGACTCCAATTGCTCAGTCAGATCTTCCTTGGGGACAAATACTTCTAAACAACACAAAGACCATTTTCTCCAGCTGGAGTTCTAAAATCATGGCTGAACTCCCATTCCATTGCTTTTGTGAAAGTACAGAGACACCAAATTGAGCAGAGAATCAGGGAAAGCTGATGCACATCACCAGGCACATGGTGCAGAACACCACCCCTATGGCTACACGTGTGCCTGTCAAGCCTTGCTCCCAGAACTGGTCTAGGCTGGTTGTTTGCCTAAGCCAGACCTAACTTCCACCTTGCCATGTTTCCATGAGCAGGTAAATAAGCTGCTGCAAAGACCGAGGCAGTTCAGCAGGCAGGGCTGGGCTGAGCTCAGGCCTCACAGAGCTTTTAGTGTCCTCCCCAAGCTCTGCCCCACTCCAACATCCACCCACAGACAGACAGGGCTCACAGCCATGAGGGCATCCAGCCTGTTTAGACTATGGCCTTAACTCCAGAAGCCATGGACATAGAAATTGGGTCTTCTTGTCACTTACCTACTAGGGCAGCACCCCTTCCCAAAACTTCATTATTTTTGACCTGACTGCTTCCTTCTCCCCTTGTGCCACCTCTTGACATTGATTGGAGGATGGATCAGCCATGCTCCCAGAAGCTGTTATAATTACAGCTGCACAGATATCACACATGAGATGCAGCTGAAAGGATCAGCTCCTATCACAGGCAGGCTACACCTGGGCAGGTGCAGAAGGGCAGGGCTAAATCTGCAAAAATGCTCCTGGAAGAGGCTGCCCCACTGCTTCACGTCTGTGAAAAGTTCATCCAAACCATCTGTGAGACCCAGCACCAGGGGGTGATCCGGAGCTAGACTGCAAGGACAGCACAGGCAAACAAACAGGCATTTCCCATGCCTGTGCTCCCAGGAGATTGTGGCCAAAAGCCAGCTGCTGGCCGAGAGGGGCAGATCAGTCTCTGTTGGGCACTCCAGGTCAGAGCCTGCCATGGCACTTGCATTTGCATAAACAAGGCAGACACAGAACAACTCTGCTGCTAAGCAGGAAGGACCACACCAACTTTGGAGCTCCAGCTGCAGGGGATGTGAACTCAGTCACCCACTGACAGCTGTGTGGCAGGGGGTAGGAAGACCAAGGCAGCTTGGCAGGGGGTTGGAAGGCACCTTGCAAAGGGACCAGGACACTCTTTGTCCTCTTGGCCAGTGGTAAGCCACAGGCAGGGCACACCACCACCGTGGTGGGTTGTGGGGTGAAGGGTTTGCCCTGCCTGGACCTAGCTGAGCTGTGACCACTGACCCTTCACCCTCACAGGGACAGCACGGGAGATCCACCACCCAGAAGGTCTCATCAAACAGCTCTGGTTTGTGCAACATGATCAAAAAACTTGGACCCACAAAGTTTCCCTCCTGGGCTCAGTGGCTCCTGTACTCGACAAAGCCAGCCCGGCATTATCAGCCCATGCCTCTCTCTGATCTCGGCTATCAAAGCAGTGTGACTTATCCTGCAGTGTTTCTGAGGCAGTGTCTCCAATATCCTTTTATTAATGCCAATTAAGCAGAGTACTGGTTAAAGTGTGCCCGCTCAGAGCTCCATGCACACTAATGCCATCACAGTGTTACATCCCTTACCCTTGACGAGAATCCCAGAATAGCAATTAACAATCTTCAATAATAAAGTAAATCAAATGCAAAGCCTCCATGGGAAATCTCAGCTCATATTCAGGGTGACTGAAGATTTTCTGAAAGGACAAAATGAGGTTAAACACCACGGACAAGCTACTTCTCTGCTCTGGATGTCAGAGAGGGGCCTGTCCAGCAGGTCTGCTGACAACCACCTCTAACCAGCTCCTGGCCCAACCCCTGAGCACAGCCCAGGCAAGAGTATCATGTGCCCCATGCACAGGGCTGTCCCTCACTGGGCACAGGATGGATTTCCCCTATTTCTGTTCAGTCTTTGAATGTCTCCTACCCAGAGCACCCTTCTCTCCAATCTAAAGATCCTCTGAAGGGGACATGGTGTGAATTCTTCTCACCTTTGCCCCTGCTTTCGTTAATAAAGCCTGGAAGCAGATGTTCAAATACAAACACTTAATGTGCCTTTCCACAGCCTGAGGAACCTGTCCCACTGCTGTCCAGGAAATATTCCTGTAAACCGATGACATGAGAGACAGAGGCCCCAGTTGCATACCAGTTGTACGGCCCCTCACTCCCATGTGCCAATTTCCCATTCTGGGACAGGGAGCAGATCCTCCTTGGTTGCTCCACGCCTCAGTCTGGAAGAGGAGATCCCTTTTGCCCACATTGCTCCAGCCTTTACTGCCCCCATCCCTTTGAATTTCTCCAGTGGCAAACAAACACTGTAGTTTTAACAGTGAAACCATCAGGGCCATGGCAATATTTTAAGGAGAAGAAAGGCATCCATAAAACCTTTCTCACTGTGGAAATCAGCTGGATGTCTCCTCTTGGAGGTACTAACACAGCAAATCTCCAGTTGCTCCCAATTCTCCACCCCAGCACTCCTCTGAACTTTCCCCAAATCCTTCCCACATGAATCAATCTGAAAACAAAGCTGGCAAAGCCTTCCAGCCCCCACCAATCAATTCCATCCTTGGGTCCTGCTCCTGTGCTTGTCTGCAGGTGCGCCCCAGGAGAGCAGCTCCCAGTAATCCCCTGGGACAGGGGCTGCTGAGCGACCTCCCGTGCTCAGCTGGCGTGAGGCATCACCTGTACAGCTAACCAGCTCCTCCTGGAGCAGCGTGGAGTGACCCTGCTTAGCACTGCTCATTTTTCTCTAGGCTTGCAAGGTTTGGAGATTGGTTCAGATAAGCATCCTCAAGCTTGCATGCTTATCTGCCCCATCTCCCAAACAGCTTTGATCTGCAGGATTTGGCTGCAGCTCTCAAAGTTATCTTGGGAAAGCTTGTTCTGGGGAGAGTAATTCTCCTGATTAACAAAAAAATCTTTCTTAGTGGCTTTGAGCATTTCCAGCCCTGGCTGTACCCAGGGAGTGTAGCCATGTCTGCAGACAGAGAGAAGGAAAAGCCAAGTAAGCTTCTCCTTAAAACTCCACTTGGGCTCCATCGCCATTCAGTTAAAATCTGAGGTCAGATATTTTATCTTGCTTTTTTTCCCCCACTTTCTGTTTGTGGGGCACATTACATCCCCCATATCCTGTGCAGAATTCCTGGGAGGAAAGCTGGCTGGACTGACCAGGGAAACAACTTCCTGGATGAGCTGGGTGAACCATGCAGGACAAGGGAGAGGGATTTGTCTGAGTAAGGGCAAGTTTTAAAAGGCAGAATTTTGAATTAAATAGCTGAAAGCAAGAGCCCCTCTAAAAGCTCTAATGAAGGAAACACAAGCCACACGTAGGTATGTGTTAATGCAGTCAGATACTCATTTTCCAGTTTACTTTCTGCTTGGCCACAGCTTTAGGAAATATTCCTTGGACTGCAAGGTATCAAATGTGCTGCTCTTGAAAAACGCTGGCGTGGATTCCCTCACACTCAGCCCACCAGCACCCCACTGAGACTCTTCCTTGTGGCAACAACCAGGGAGGAAGAGGAAGATGGTATTAAGGAACAGGAGGAACTACAGAATCAGCAATGAAGTTTATAGTGGGGAAACTGCCCCAAACATTTCCTGCTGGCCTCGCATAAAGAATAAATAGGCATTTAAAAACCACTACTCAGGGAGGGGAAAGAAGTGTGAACAGCAAAAATATGTACATATGTTTTAAATAATTTTTTTTAATTGTTGAGGCAGTAATACTTGGTTCATGGAACTGCAATATACAGAGAGGTGAAATAAATAGCTTATATATATATAATATATATAATATAGCTGGTTTTAAAATATTCCCTTATCATTGGTGTACTAGGTCATCTTGTAGTCACTTGAATGTAGTTAGCAGCATTCTCCAGAAGTGAGCGGGATGCAGGATCACGGAGCTGTGACTCCCTATGTCGTCAGGAGGGTTACAGAGGATCGGTGCGCCGAGAGCTCCACGGGCCTCGTCCCTGCAGCTCCCGCCGCCTGTCCTGGCCGGCGGGCAGCAGGCAATAAATAGATTACTGCCAACCGGCACTTGGCGGGGCAGGGTCTCAGTAACTTTGGGAAAGAACTTAGCTTTTCTTTGGTTTTATTTATTTATTTTTAATAATTCTTTTTTTTTTTTTTTCCTCTGGGGATATGCTTGAGAAGTTGTCCTTTCCAAAAAAAGCAAAAGAAGCACCTGTGTGTCATCAACAACAAGAAGTCAATTTAAATAGAGCAGTTAATTTCATTTTTCAAGTCACAATAAATCCCGAACAGCTTTCCCCAGCATTTGCCATCTAGTCTTTTATTAATTTTTTTTATTTTTATTTTTTTTAAACACAATGTACAAAAATAGAGCTTCTTCCTTATTTTTAATGTAAAAATATTCCTCTGGTGCAGTTTTTTTTTTTTCTTTTTGTGGTTTCTTATTGTGACACTATTTTTGTCTGGTTTTAGCTGGGGTTGGTGGGTCGTATTCTCTTAGTCCTCTTGGTGACTGTTGTGTACTTGAAGGGTTTCTGTATCTCCATTTGCCCCTTTGGGTATCTCTTCATAAAGTGTACATCTTGCTGGTTTTCCCGGGTCTTGGGCCCTTTCCGTGGCCTCCCTTTTTTGGTGAATCCAACATACCAGCCTGAATATTTTGCAGACATCAGTGCCGTGTAGTTGTTTTCTAGGACTTTTTCAATGAAGACACACTCCTTACTGGTGCCATCAGGCTGAAAAAGGAAAAAAAAAAAAAAAAAAGGAAAGAAAAATAAATAATCCAAATGCAAGCTCAGTGACCAAGACCCAATTTGGCATAAATAAAATCATCACATCTGGACCTCTTTTTTGGTTCAAACATTCTTAATAAGAGCCATAACAAGCACCAGCTAAAATCGAACTTTTTTTTTTTTAAAGCACGAAAGCGTGAGGTCATAATTTCTTTTTCTAAATGCTCTTATCCAAGGGGAGAAAAATTTTTCAAAGACAACAGTTAAGTTTATCCAGTCCAGTGCCTTCAACTGCAAGCAAAGCAAGACATCCAGCTTTGCTTTTTTCCCTTAGGGAGAGAGGACGAATTGAATTTGTGCCAGGGAAACATCATACTTAGTCAGAAAAAACCAAACCCCAGAATCTCACATGGCCCAAACAACAGCGTTTCCCCTTCTTCCTCTCACTCCTGATGTTTTCTGAAATACCTTATGGGCTTTCACCCACAACTACCCAAATCCCACTAAAATTATTACAAGTTTCAGTCTAAGCCTCCACAGCAATTTGAAAACTCTCCTCCGTGTGATCCCAGCAGATGGACCACATGTGGTGCTCCAGGGGTGCTGGAGCCACTGGGGTCCCTGTCACCACTCCTGTCCCTGGGACCCTGGAGAGCCCTGAAGCCAAACTGGGCTCAGCTCAGCCTGGAGATCCTACCAGACCCAGAACTGGGCTTTGAACATGGCAGAACAAGGATCTCTGCATTCAGGACTCTCACACAGGACAGGCAGCACTGGAGGGAGTGACAGCATTACACAACTGCATCTTCAAGTCCTTGAGCACAAAGGAAATTCTTCTCACCCATAACCTTCTGCCAGAAAACATTTTGCCCTTTAACTGCTGAGTTACTGGTGCTGTACCTAGAATGTCACATGCCGTGCACCTGCACCTGATTTATGCATCAGAAGATATTAAGGAGTAGATACAGGATAAGTAGATATAAACCATTGCACAGGACTTCATTTAAAGCTCAGCAAAGTCAAAGGAAGGATTTCCATCATAGCCCAATTCAGCTTCCTACTAATATCAAATGAGTTTTCTGGAACTGCAGGCCTACATATACTACTATGAAACCCTGCCCACCCAAACTAAACACTGTCAGACCCTCTCAGTCTTTACCCATCATATCCTGGGGGGCAGAGAAGCCGCAGCAGCATGAGCTGCTCAGCCCCAGCCCCAGCCCTGCTTAGAGGCTCCTCTGGGCATGATGCTGGGGTGAGGAGCCAAATCCTGCATGGTCACCATCTCTTCCCCAAGGACAGCTCAGCCTGCCTTTCCAGGGCAGCCACCCTGAAATGTGCTGCACAATCCCTGTAGAGTTTGCTGCAGTTTGTGGGAAGGACAGACGATCACAGGAGGGAAACCCCCGGACCATGCTGCACAGGCTTCCCTGCACCCCTGAGCCCCAAACACCCATGACAGGGGAACCATCAGGCACCATGACCCAGGCTGGAGGCAACAACAGAGGAAAGCCAGGATGGCTGCTCATCGCCAGCCCCCAGGGCCAGCCATTCCTCCAGGACTCCATGCCTTTAGCAGCGCTTTGGTTCCATCTGTGTGACAGGTGATGCTTGCCCTGAAGTCAGCACTGCACCCTCCTGCCTCAAGGCTTTCGGCACCAGGGAAGGTCTCATTACGAGGGCAAATTCTGGCAACTTTTCCAACAGTTCTGCTAATCCAGGGCCTGCGCAGGGGCTCTGCCTTAGGACTAGCAGTCTCCATTCAGGATAGGCACAAAGGTCCTCATTTTACCATCCACAATTGGAAGCTCACAAATGCTTTAATGAACAGCAGAACTGGGCATAGCTCAGTGGTTCCAGTTCCTGGGGGTGTCATTCTCCAAGTCCTGGGTTTGATCAAAGCCACATGAGTGGCAAAGGGGGAAATCAGTCAACACCACAGGGTTCCACCAGATTTCAATGGGAAGCCATAAAACCAGCTCCAGGTTTCTCAGGGCCCAGCCCACTACAAACCCTTCCCCAGTGAGTGGAGAATTTTTGAACAATACCATGGCTGGGATTCAAATTCACCCAAATCCAGGTGCCTGTGAACCGACCGGATCCATACCGCAGGTAATTGGAAGGGTTGTTCCCTCCATGCTCGTGGGAAGGGACTGGATTTGAGCCCTGACCTTGTTGCTAGGAGAATTAAGGGTTTTTCATACAATTTGGGAGGGTTCCGCTTGTACTGCAATGTCAGTTTTTCACGGAAAATGAAGACTGGAATGAAAAGAAAACGTGTGTAGGAGGGGGGAACTTATTCTATTAATAACAAAAAAAGTATTTACTTATACCTTCAAATTTGCCGACAGAGCCTAAGACGGAGACAGGAGGTGGAGGAATAACAAGGTGCAACTTCAGGCCAACCTCAGGGCTAATTTGAAGTAAACAAGGTGCATGAGATAAAATAACTTCGTTCTGGAAGAGGAAGAGCTAAATGGTTTGATAACATGAAATTACAGCAGCATTTACAAGTACCTAGAGATAAATCAGGATAAGGACCTCACTTCCCCAAACAGCGCATTCCTGTATGTGCTAAGACACGTCACAGACACACAAATGATTTTCAAATACTGACAAGATAATTTTACTGTTTCTTTTATGATCCCCAACAGGATAAATCATTCACACAAGTTACCTACACCATGAAGAGCTGTAAACACAGTAATCTATTAGGGGAAAAATCAATTTGTGGGGGTTTTCAGTAATTTTTAAGCATCAAGTGCCCAACATTTAAAATTTAAATCAGTTCCCTACTTAAGCCATAGCCAATCACTCCTTGGGTCTGTCAGACATCCCCTCACTCCTCCAAAGAGAAGGGGGTTAAAGAGAAAATGGAGACAGCTTTTGCCAAGCATCACTCCCTGCTCCAGCCACAGGCTCACCCTTCCCCAGGAGCTCCTGGTGCAACTGACCCAGGGCTGCACCCTCCATCACCAACGCCAGCTGGGAGCTGCTGCCAAGCCACATTTCATACACACTGCGCTGGCAGAGCACTCACCCTCCAAAACACGGAGCTTTGTGTTTTCAACTGATTCTTGACAACAAATTCTTGAAAGCCTCAGAGCTGCACAGGGGCTGTCTGACCCAGTGTCATGGCCTGGCCACAGGACAGAGGAAGTCCCACATGCAGCCCCACATCCCTGTCCCCTCCACAGCAGGAATGAGGGCTTCCTGTGCCCCTCGTGTACCCCACTGGCTGCTCCTGCCCTTTTGGCCTCACCAACCCACTGGCAGCAGCTCCAGCCACGCTCCCTGCTCAGAGCAGGACACAGCAGAGACACAACCTTGCTCCTGCAAAGGCTCTCTGCAAGTCAGAGACTGAACTGCTGGTGTTGGCCCAGGGGCTGCTGCCTGGCCATGCAACAAGGCCGTGCCACCTGGCAGGTCAGTTTTTGCAAAGAAATCATTCAGAGCATGTTACACAGCCCAAGAACTTTGGGAAGATGTGGTATCTGTTAGCCAAATTTCTGATAAATGCCTTATAAAATGCCTGATCTAACTGCCACCTTCCGGGGAAAGCTCTGGGCGTGGCCCAGGTGTGCGCAGAGTGAGGGGAAAGCCCGGCCTGAGCAGCACCAGGGGCTGGCTCCAGCAGAGCATCTCCTGGAACACGGGCTGGGGAGCTGCCCCGCTGGCAGCGGGGCAGTGCCCAGCGCCAGGCAGGGACCTGGCTGGTGCCAGAGTTTTTACAGAACAAGGTCAGAGCAGCAGCCCCCCAGGCTCACCCTGCAGTGAGGGGTCTGAGGAGCTTTTCTGCACCGTGAGCCGGCTCCACCCCGCGCAGCTGAGCGCAGCGGAGCCGAGCGGCCGCGCTGAGCCGGGGCTCTCTGAGCACACGTCGAGGAGCAGCCCCGGATTGTTTGTGCAGAGCATTTGGTGAGGGGCTCTCCAGTCTTAAACGTGAAACATGTTGAACTGACACTAAAGCAGAATTAAGTGCCAAAGCATTTGCTGCTTCTACAATTACACTCCGGAGCGCTTTGGTGCTCCTGCTCTCCTTTTTATGACCCAACTTGGTCTTATTGTAGTTTGGCTTTCTCGTTTTAAGTCCTCCAAATGGAAAGGATCAAAGAGCTCTTTGTTGCCGTAGGAGGAGCGCTCCTCGGAGCGAGGCATTCCTGCCACAAACAGCTTGCAGCTCAGGGGGACTTCGCGGCCGCTCTGTGCCACCAGCCCGAGCCAAAGCATCAGCAGGTGCAGCGGCCGCCTCCGCCCTCCCCCGCCGCCTGCCATGCCGAGCCACCTGAGCAGCTCTTTATAGCGCACGGAGGCCAGGACAGGTTTTTTCATTTACGCTTCACAAATCTGGCGCAGTGGGCACCGGGAAATCTGAACTTCACAGCGACTTTCACAGCGACAATGAGCTCGCGTCAGCAGCTCGGGTAACACCGAGGAGCGGGGAGAGAAGCTTCCAGGACGGAAAAGTTTCTCTGTTTGTAAAGATCGGGGCACAAATTAAGCTGCTGTTAGCTAAGCTTAGGTTAAAACACTTCCCCTCCTCAAGCGCTGCTGCAATTAGGAGCTCCCTGGGTGAGCGACTGGTGATGTGCTGCAAATAACAAAAAACCGCGAACATCACCAAACACGTCCGTGACAACCCAGGAATGCCGGCTTGGCACAGGGCACAGCGAGTCTCAGCACTCCGAGTGAGAGGGGGCTGTGTCTCTGATTTAATTATCACCTTTTTGCCAGCTCAGCCTCCAGGCTCGAAGTCAAACTGTGGTGACATCAGCCCCTCCGTACAATGGAGAGCATCTCCCTCTGCGAGGGAAGCAAGCCTCCCAAAAATCCTGGAGTAGGGAAAGCTACCACTGAAGCAAAAGGTTTCCAAGAGGTGCACACATCCAGGCGTTTACAAGGAAAACCGCTGAAAAGGGATCCTTCCTGCACCCATCCTTCTCTCCCCCTCCACAGACAGCTAGACTGAGGGGGCTCCCAAGCCCTAGCACCCCACCGTGCTG